AAGGCTCATTCACACAATAGCTCACACCACAAAGGCTCATCCCACAGCAATAGCTTTTTAAAAAGTGGTCAGTAATCATTCTTATTAACTCACTATTAGGTATCTTACAGCTCAATTATTTTACTGTTGAAAATAGTATTTCTTTTTAAATGTTTCATGGACAGAGACAATATTAAAAAGTAAAAGATTCCTGATAAATAAAGCAAGGACTATCAAGTTTGACATTAAAGTGTCATGTGGTGATGATAATTCTGCACTATGAAAACGCTTATTTATTTCTATTTTATTCATTAATTCACAGAAAGACATAGCAGGGAGTTAAACCTCTCTTTAATGTTTGTCAGTTGTATCACATGGCTTTTCTTTTTCTAGGCCTGCTTTGTGTCTAAACTTTCTCACATCTTTTATCTCATATATGTTTTCAGATAATCGAAAGCATATCCTTGAAGTATACATCTTCTAGCACTGCTTTTTTTCTTTTTAAAAACCCTTCTTTGTTTCAGGATATTTGATGTTGTGAAAGATGACTCTTTTTGATGACCTTTAGAAACTAGGTCCTCAAGCAGTAACACTAACAAAGCAGAAGTTTCGAGCTGTGTTGGCAGAGCATTTGGAGAAGGCTGCACAGCTGAATGTCTCTCATTCTGTATTATACTTTCTATTACCTTTTATTATCTTAACTGGCAGGGATTCTGCTCATAAATACTAATATCAATTCATTTTTGCTGGCTCTCTAACTCATTTTCAGCCAGTCTCACATTTCATTTCATGTCTTGCTTTTTGAAAGACCCCTTATTTTAGGTAACTGCCTTACCCCTGTTTACCTGTGCTGGCATCGTCCAGGCCCTTCACTACAGCTACAGGAAAAAGCCATCGTGCAAACAGTCCTGCACACAGAACACAACACAAACAACAGATTGGGGGTTTTCTGGGAATCCTGTAATTTAATTCTCAGTGAGCCACTAGTCTCAGTGCTAAAACTAACATTAAGGTTTTCATCCAGTAATCGCACAGTAAATCAAAGGACAATCCAAGTGATCAGCAACTACTTTACAGCACAGGGAAATCTAAAGAGGGGACTGCTAATTTCTTCCCCTAATTCATTGCTAGTATACTGCTTTTAACTTTACTGTTAGTATGTAAGCTTTTAACTTTACTGAAATTACTCAACAGCAAGTCAGTAAGACTGGAACAACTAAAACTCCAGGACTCGCAAAGATGTAGGCACCAAAATCAATCACTGTTCTCCTTACACAGCAAGAACTAAATAGCAGGAGCTTAATGTGTGCCAAATAAATGCCTTAAGAAAGTATCGCAATAATAGCAAGGACATACAAGAGAGTATTTGCACAGAACAGGAACTACTTTGATACAATGACTGCATAATCCAAACAGAATTAAGATAAAAAACACAGAACTCAAAAGGAACAATGGCAGAGCACTCCAGTGTAAAAACCTTCTATAAGCTTTCCTTGCACTGTGCTTAGAGTTGGGTAATAAAAACCTACTATAAGCTTTATTTGCACCGTGTTTGAAAATAGTTTCAGTTTCACTCCTTATTTTTAAAGAAAAGAGGTATTCTTTGTACAGTAATTTCATTTGCACTTTTTGCTGTAAAATTTTCTTAGCTGAGTCATGTCAGCTGACTGGTCACACAGGAATACATGTCAGTTTGTAACTTGTCATAGAGTAGATTAAGGATTTTCTCAAGGAGCTGAAGCTAATGTGCTTAAGCTTTTGAGCAAAAATGTTGTATATGTTCTTTATGTGCTCTTAGTTCTCAATACTAAATCATACACATCACAGATTTTTAAGAACAAAATTACTTTTGAACAGCAAATGCATAACTTTAGCCACTATGGTTTACCATGGAAAAGTATTATCAAATATAAGTGTTCTTCAGACTGTAGGAAACAAATTAACATGTTCTATTTTCTTCTGCTATTTAATGAAAGTTTTAATAGTTGTCATTTCTCCAATTTTTTTTCCCTGAGTAATTTACTCTTGCTGAAAATTGGGGTTCTCCATTCTGCCAATGAAATCCTGCAACTTTTGGAATAAAATCCCCAAGTTATTTGCTGACCAGCTCATGCCCTAAATTTATTCTCCAGGAATACTTGGAGAATAAGTTTTTTCCTTATATTCTGTTAACATTGAGCAAGCTATATGGAGGCTACCTGGTCTCAAGCTCATGAAAATTCAGGCATTTATTGATACTAAACACATACCATCATACTATTACACTATTTTTAATTACTCTGATTTCTTTCTATAGCTTCACTGTAACCCTAGTACAGTCTTAATCTAACTTTTACCCCTTCCATCAACTTTGGTTATACCAACTCATCCACATGAAAATAAAAATCAATACTGTAGTAAGGTGTAATAAATAACACCTATAGTGAAATGTAAAAACAGGTGAGCAAGTTTTAACACCTGAGCTGGTTTTAGCCGCACACACCCCAAATACACTGCTTTCTTTGCACTTTCATTAGATTAAATAAGCACTTTAGAAGCATCTCATAAGATGAAATCGCTTTCTTTTTGGTGCACACTTCAAGTATGGGACCAAATGAGGAGTGCTCCTTTCAGCCCCTCACCTAAGAGGAGCCCTACACCACCCAGCCCGCACCGCCATGTTGTCTCCCACCTGCCGGGGCCACCACGTTGTTGCCCCGCTATGCCGCCATGCTGTTGCCCCCGCCCCCCCGGTAGGTAGGTCGCCATGTTGCCGCCCCACAGCCCAGGAAAGGGCACGGTGC